TTTCCTCTGGGGTGTTTTGAAATTGAGCTCCCAGAAGCCTCAGCTAGCTTGGCCAACATCCAAGAATTATGGTAGCTGAAGTCGAAAACATCTGGAAGACCAAAGTTTGGGGACCACTGAATTTGTAGCAGGTAACTTGTGACCCTCCAAATGGGGGATGGATGTTGCCTAACTCAACATCTGGAGGACAACAAACTGATACAATAATAATATAATTTATTTATATATCCCGCCTCTCCCTGCGGATCGAAGCGGGAGTACAGAGATAAAAGAGAACAATGCAACAACATTAAAACAGCAAAAAAACCTAACAAAATAAAATGATAAAAATAAAATTAATACAATAAAATTATTAAAATTACAACAAAATTGCAAGTTATTAAAATTACAATAAAATTAAAGTACCAGTCTATAATGCAGAGGCTAACAGCATAAGCCATGAAATCCCCAATTTATGAACTCACTACAAGGTGACAGGCACGCCGCTATTCTGTCAACTAGCTAATATTAACAGAACTGTGTTTAAGGTCTGATATATGTTCTTATATATAAAAAAAAGTAACATTTTCGCATCCAGAGATGGTCTAGGGTAGGGGTTGGGAGCATGTGGCCTTTACACAGGCTGTTAGCTGCAACTCCCATCATTTCCAACCAGCACTGGCAATGGCGAGATGGAATTGCATTCCCACAACACGTGATAAAAGCCACGTGTTTCCAATCCTGTGCTGGAGTCACCTTTAACAGAAGACTTGGTACCAGAAGTAGAAATAAAACAGAATAGGGGTACATTCCTACACCACAAAAAGAAGAGCACTTCAATATATTTCATTATACTTTTTATTTCACAGTAGCAATAGGCATGTGTGAAATGAAACATCCAGGTCAGCTAAATTATCCAGGAATAACTTTTAATTTTATCAGCTTTTTTTTTTTTAAATCCATTTTGTTCTATACAGGCACACCCCTGTTTTCACGGACTTGGGAGTCCACAGTCTCGCCTGTTCACAGGCAGGGAGGGACACAATGGACAAAATGGGGCACACTCAGGGGCACGCAGCCATTTAAGTCAATGGGGCTTGAATACTGGCGATTTCCCATTTTTATGTGTGTGTCTGGAACGGATCCCCCACGAAAACGGAGGGATGATTGTATATCTATTATTATAATTATTTAACATGCTGGGAGTAGCTGGTGAGCTGCTTTCCCATTTTATTTCCATTTTACTATTCACACATGCTCAGTATCACACTCTGGAAGCAGGTGCTTTTTACCTTGCTTCTTGTATCCCACTCTTTATCAGCTCAAGCTTTAGTGCACTGTTTACTGCAGATACATTTTGGCTGCAGTATTCTGAAGCACTTGGGAGTTTCCAGACTTTGTCCAAAGGTAGCCCAACGTAGAGTGCATTGCAGTCTTGAGGTTACCAGTGCATGCAATACAAAATAAAATAAAATAAAGCCCAATGATCCTCCCAGGAAATGGGTGGCAATGCCAGGGATCACCTAGGATATATATACAGTGTAGAAATAATGCAGTTTGACATCACTTTAAATGCCAAGGCTTAATAGTTTTGTGAGGCACCACCACTCTTTGGCACAGAAGATTAAAGATCTTGTGAAAACCACAATACCAGGGTTCCACAGGGTGGACCTTCTGCTCTTATCAAAGTGGTATCAAAGTGCATTATTTCTACAGTGTAGATGCACCCATTGTGTATTCAGGGTCATGAGGGAAGGTGAGTGGAACTCAGTGCCTTTACAGACTGCCAGAAATAGTGCAACTTGAAGCCACTTTAATTGTCCTGGCTCAAGGCTAAGGAATCATGGGAACTGTAGTTTATTGTGGCACCAGAGCTCTCTGACAGAGAAGGCTCAATGTCCCAGAAAAAAATACAATTCCCATGATTCCCTAGCACTGGGCCAGGACGGTTAAAGTGGCCTCAAGCTGCACTATTTCTGCAGTCTGTAAAGGCCCTGAGTCAAGTATATCTGTTCATCCCCTCCACATACTCACCTTATTAGGTACTTACATTGAAAATGGAGATTCAGCCTCATTAAAAACCCAAAACAAACACTCTTCTGCAGGCAGTCCTATGAACATGAAGTGAATCATAGAATTGGAAGAGACCAGAAGGGCCATCCAGTCTAACTTCCTTCTTCCATGCAGGAACTTGCAATCAAAGCACCTCAAACAGATGGCCATCTAACCTTTATTTAAAAACCTCCAAAGGAGATGCCACCACTCTCTGAGGCAGCATATTCCACTGTGGAACAGCTCTTACTCCTAATGTTGAGGTAGAATCTCTTTTCCTGTGATTTGAATCCATTACTCTGAGTCTTATTCTCTGGAGCAGCAGAAAACAAGCTTGCTCCAACCTCAATATGACAACCCTTCAAACATTTAAACCAGGCTATCATATCACCTCTTAACCGCCTCTTCTCCAGGTTAAACATACCTAACTCCCTAAGGGGCGTTGCAGACTGCCAGAAATAGTGCAAATTGAGTCCACTTTTAGGGTTAGGGTTAGTGCTAGGGAATCATGGGAATTGTTTTTTTCCTGGGACATTGAGCCTTCTCTGTCACAGAGCTCTGGTGCCACAATAAAATACAGTTCCATGATTCCCTAACCCTAAACCTAACCCTAAAAGTGGACTCAATTTGCACTATTTCTGGCAGTCTGCTACCCCCCCTAAGTCTCTCCTCATAGGGCTTTATGGTTTCCAAACCCTTCACCCTTTTGGTTTGCAAGTGGTATCAAAGCGCATTGCTTTCTACAGTGTAGATGCACCCATTGTGTAGTTGTAGGAAGGTGGGTGGGAGTGAGCCAAGCACACCTATCCATCCCTTCCAGGTACTCACCTTATTAGGCACTGAAAATGTGGATTCAGTTTCGTTAAAAAACCACGCCAAACCAAAAACCTTTTTGCAGGCAGCCCCATGAACTTGAAGTGGTATCAAAGTGCATTACTTTCTACAGTGTAGATGCACCCATTGAATGGTCAGGGTCAGGAGGGAAGGTAGGTGGGTGGGACTGAGCCCAAGCACACCTGTCCATCCTCTAAAGCAGGGGTAGGCAACCTTTCCCCTTTAAGGGCCGAGGGACTTCAGCTCCCAGAATCCCAGGAGCTATTGGCCAACATGGGACTATTGGCCAACATGGCTCAGGCTTCTGGGAGCTGAAGTCCCTTGGCCCTTAAAGGGGAAAGGTTGCCTACCCCTGCTCTAAAGCAGTGGTTCCCAAACTTTGGTCCTCCAGGTATTTTGGACTTCAACTCCCAGAAGCCCCAGGAAGTTTAGCCAACAGTCAGGGATTCTGGGAGCTGAAGTCCAAAGCATTTGGAGGACCAGAGTTTGGGGCTCACTGCTCCAAAGGTACTCACCTCGTTATTCCTAGGTACTTACCCATTTCCACACTGAAAAGGCAGATTCAGCCCGGTTGAAAAACCAAAGGCAAACGCCCTGCTTGTGCAAAGTGTTCCCTGAGGCACACCTGAAGCCATCACTGCTACCTTTGGCTACACAACAGGTACAGGCAGGTGTGAACTCACCTGAGCTTACCTCTGGAAGCTGCTCCCAGCGACCAAGAGGAAAACCTGGCCTCTCAGGCGCTGCCTGTCCGGGTTTAGGATACAACAAACCCCCTCAGGAAAGCCAAACCCAGCCTTCCCGCCTCGACCGGCTGCCTTCCGTTGGTTTCTCTTTCTCCTCCTCCTCCTCCTCCTTCTAAAGTTTTATTATTTTGGTTCCTTTCGCGCATGCGTGGCTTTGTGGGCGCATGCGTACTAAGGGCGAAAGGTCCATAAACGGGTGGTGGGGGGGGTATGTTTTGGTTCATGGCTAAAGTGAATCTTCAGCTCTGGGGGTCATTGTTGGAAGCAATACCTTGCTCTCCCTGGTTGCTTTGTGTGGAGAGCTAGGCTGGGAGTGAGGAGGGAAAAGGACCTCTCTAGCCATAGAAGCCCACTGGGTGGCCTTGGGCAGGTCACACTCTCTCAGCCTCAGGACAAGAAAACCCCATGATAGGGGCGCCATACGTGTGAAGGCAAACAACAACAGCGACAACAGACTGGGGCACTACCTCTAGTCTTCAATCCTGCTCTTTTCTGTTGCAAAGCCTTGTGTTTTTGTGTCAGAGCTTGGAAATGTTAAGGAGTGTGTGTGCCTTTGAGAAGAGGACAACTCCCAGAATCCCCCAGCAGCCATGACTCTGGGAGTTGCCCCCCCAAAATACACACACACACACAGAGGAAGGTGTAAAAGATCTGGGAGTTGTATCCAAAAAAAAAGAGGAACTTTTACACTTTTTATATGTGGAGGATTAGATTGCAGAGCTCTCCTCAAGATTTCCTTGGCTAGAGGGCCTGAACAGACTGCCAGAAATAATCCATTTTGAGACCATTTTAACTGCCCTGGCTCAGTGCTAGGGAATCATGGGAACTGTAGTTTATTGTGGCACCAGAGCTCTCTGACAGAGAAGGCGCAATATCTCAGAAAAAACTACAGTGCTCATGATTCCCTAGCATTGAGCTAGGACAGTTAAAATGGTCTCAAACTGGATTATTTCTGGCCGTGTGTTCAGGCCCTAGAGTTTCAAATACTCTCCCATAAATTTGTTAACTACTGCCTGTTGGACTCTGAATTCTCCCTGATTTTCTTCTAAGGGTGCAGCCACACTACAGAATTAAAACAGTTTGGTGCCACTTTAACTGATATGACTCAATGTTACAGAATCCTGGGATTTGTAGTTCGATGAGGCATCGGAACTCTATGACAGACCAGTCTGAATATGTAACCAAACTGAAAATCCCAGAAGATACAGTCATGGGAGAAAGTGGTGTCAAACTACTTTCATTATGCAGTGTGGCTGCTTGTTGTGTTTCTGATATATGGCAACCCTATTATAAGGTTTACTTGGCAAGATTTGTTCAGAGGAGGTTTGCCATTCCCTTCCCCTGAGGCTGAGAGAATGTGACTTGCCCAAGGTCCTCTAGTGGGTTTCATAGCTCAGCAGGGAATCGAACCCTGGTCTCCAGAGTTGTAGTCCAATGCTCAAACCACTATGTCAAGACCCTTGCAAACTGGCCAAACACTTTCTGTTGTGGTTTTGAAGGGCTGGCTTCATGTGCTTTGACCTAAGCTCATTTTTTAGGGGTGCTTGCCTCCTCCTCCCCATCATTCCCTACTGCAGCCTTTCCCACCTCTTTTGGCAGCAGCTACTATGGGAAGGGGTAGTGGAAGGAAAGGAGAGGATGCAATGTATGGTGCAAGATGTGGAAGAAGGAAAGTAATAAGGCACTAGCAATGTTGGAAGGGAGGAGAGAGGATAGGGATAGCAGTGGTGAAAGTCCTGAGAAGAGAAGTGCACAAATGTTGCTGCTTCTTGTTCTGCTTCCTGAAGCAGTTGCCTCTCTGCCTAATGGATGGGCTGGTGCTACCTCCTCAACTTGAATTCAACCCTCTGCTTTTTTGTTGTTGTTAACTGCCCTCGATTCGATCTCGACTCATGGTGACCCTATGGATGAGACATCTCCAAGACCCTCTGTCCTCCACTGTTCTGCTTAAATCCCCTAGAGTCCATCCATCTAGCATCTGGCCTTCCTCTCTTCCTACTTCCCTCCACCTTCCCCATCATTATTGTTTTTTCCAAAGAGTCCTCCCTTCTTATGTCTGAAGTATGACTCAGTGCTAAGGAATCCTGGGAATTGTAATTTCTTGTGGTACCAGGGCTCTTGGACAGAGGAGAAATGTCTCCCAAAAGTACAGTTCCCAGAGTTCCCTAGCATTGAACCAGGGCAGTTTGAGCAGTGTCAAACTGGATTATTTCTGCAGTGGTTAGTCCTTTGTGCTTGTGACATTTGTGGACTGCAAAAGTGCTATGTTACTTTTCCTCCCACACCCAGATTGGGGGTGAGGGGAGGCATAGCCCTGATGTTGTTGCACTGCAATTCCTGTCATCTCTAGCTAATGTTACAAATGGTGAGGAGTGATGTGATTTTTAGACTAACATCTGGAGGGCCACACACTCCCTATACCTGGCATGAGGAAAGGATGATCTGTATTGATCTGTAGTCTTGCTTGGTACAAAGGGATTTGAAAATTGTCTAAAATGGCTGTATGCCTTAGGCTGCATCTGCACTGCAGAAATAATGCAGTTTGACATGCATTAACTGCCTTGGCTCAGTGCTGTGGAATTCTGGGATTTGTAATTTTGTAAGATATTTAGCCTTCTCTGTCAGTGCCAGAACAAACTACAAATCCCAGGACTTCATAGCATTGAGCCATGGCAGTAAAAGCGGTGTCAAACTGCATTATATCTGCAGTGCAGAAGCAGTCCTAGTTGAATCCATTGTTCATTATGAGCTCTGCACCTTTACTGTATTCTGACCATGCTTTTGACTTGCAGGAGCTGGGAACCCTTCTTGATCTGAAACTCCTGGAAGAAGACATCTTGAGATCAGCCTGGGTGTCATTGGAGCAGAGATGATGTGCAGTGATACCCATGTTTCTCATTTATTAATCCCAGAGATTTGATGGGTATCCTTAATTTAGGGGTGTAAAGAGGCAGTACATGAAGACAAGTAAGGAGAAACTGGTGATCAGGAACACCATTAGTCTGGATTGAGTTGGTCTCGGGTGGGATTGCACTCCCCTCTGAAAAGCCAATTAGGTTGCCTAACTTCAGTTGCCAGGAGCACCTCCTATCAATTTAGATCAGTATGCTTGTTGCAGTGCTACCTGGAGAAAACAGACCTGGCCTCACCCACAGTTTGTATATCCTGTGTGTGAGCTGTGTGCCTTCAAGTAATTTCTGATGTATGATGACTCTATCCTGGGGTTTTCTTGGAAAGATTTGTCCAGAGGAGGCCCTTGCCATTGCAGACAGCATATGTAACTTGCCCAAGGTCCCCCAGTGGGTTTCATGGCTGAGCTGAGAACTGAACCCTGGTCTTCAGAGCCGTAGTCCAACACTTAAGACTACTACGCCATGCTCCTGGTTCCATACAAACCAGCACAGTCCTTAACTCAGGTAGTAATTACTTGCAGGTATTACAGAGACAGTATGGTGTAGTGATTTCAGTTTTGGACTAGGACTCCAGAAGACTAGGGTTCAGCCATGGAAAACCACTGGGTCTCTATAGTTTTATGTGGGTTTTTCGGGCTATGTGGCCACGTTGGGTATACTTAGGTAAGTCACACTCTGTTATCCTAAGAGGAAGGCAGTGGCATAAATCTTGCTAAGAAAATTCTGTCATAGTGTTGCCTTAGGGTCTCCATGAGTTGGAAACAATTTGAAGGCATACCACAACCACCACATAACAGAGCAGCTTCTCTTTGCTTGATAATGTCTATTGTAATGTAGCATGACCTAAAATGTCAAGGCAAACACAACAGGAGGTGGGAGAAGGAAGCAGGTTGCCAGGGAAATGGGGCAAAAATAACTTGGTAATCGGTATACAGAAGAAGAGCTGAACTGAGAGGTATGCTGCTTAGAGGAAAATAGAAGAGGCTCATCAGTATATGTAGAGAAAAGCAGTGAAGGATGTTGGAGACAATAGAGATAAAACAACTGAACAAGAACAAGAGATGTTAGTGCTTAAAGTTACTCCTGTTAAAGGAAGCATCTGCTCCTCATCTGTGAAGCTGGCAGAGTGACTTGTGGGATATGTTTATTAAAGGGACATTTTCGGAGTTAAGGGGAGAAAGACTATTGCAAGGATAGATATGTAACACTTTAATTGAAATTTTTATTTAAATGTTGAAAACAGTTATTTGTTTTGCCACTGCTATATATATTGATGTGCCATTATTGATTATCTGAATTCTACCATTACATTTTTAATTATTACATTTTTCTATATTTATTAGCCTGTTTAGAACTAATTACATTTCTATAAAACCTGCAGTCAGCTACTGTGTTCTCGCATCTTCCTTTGCTCTTGATTTGTACATTGCTTTCTAATGGCATAGCCTCAAATAGAGACTGAAATTACAATAACAGTAAGTAGTAGTAGTAATGAGAATGGCTACTTCTCAGGAGGAAGGAACTAGAGCAGTAGGCCCTGTAAAGAAGGACTTGAACTTGGGGAAAAGTCTTCTATGGGATCTTTTATCCTATGTTTATGGAGGTGACTAGGGAATAGACTGGTATAGACAAAGCCTTCGAATGAAGTGTAATTTTTTGGGGATTCAAACATACTAACATACATTCATTCACACAAGAACTCAGGAATAAAGTAGTTAGCTTGGAGAGGAAACACGAGACTTTCTAATGGTGATAATTACCTAAAGCAGGGGTAGGCAACCTTTCCCCTTTAAGGGCCGAGGGACTTCAGCTCCCAGAATCCCAGGAGCTATTGGCCAACATGGGACTATTGGCCAACATGGCTGAGGCTTCTGGGAGCTGAAGTCCCTCGGCCCTTAAAGGGGAAAGGTTGCCTACCCCTGACCTAAAGGAAGCTGCTCCAATGATGAATGAAGATGGATAGACTCAACCATTATGAAAAGGAAAAGGACAATAGAAAGAGCTGGGACTCTAGTCAGAGTGCACAGTGGCACCATGAAATCTAACCAGACCCAGTGTGCCTGAGATTTTGGAAATCTTTTGGGAATCTCCTTAAACGTAGCCTAAGGGGAAGAATTGCTATTGTATATCAAAGGATGCTGAATCCTACTCTTTGAAGTAAACAATTTCCAAGGAGAAGAGATGGGATGTTAATGTTATCTCATCTTCAGCTGGACACATCCTGGTTGGCATTCATCAATCTTCTAGGATGAATGTTCTGCACTGCAGCTCCTAGGCTTGGCCCTTTTGATCTGCAAATTGTTGTAAGTGCATATATAACCTTTCAGGTGCCTACGTGATGTGCTCACCTTGGATCTATGGCGATAGGGGCTTCTCCCAGTCCAGGGCCATGGCAGGGACCCAAAAGGGATCTTTACATTAATCAGCCATCGTAACAGCCCTAAATGCTATGAAGCAAAGCCCCCTTTACTCATCCTATCTATATCATTGGCCTCACACAGCATGTGCTGTATCGCTTAACAGAGTTCTTGCATGGCTCCTTGAAGAGGCAGAGACATGACCTCAAACATCACATCTCTTCTATGCCCCATGAAGTCCCCTTGATATGGGTCTGCCTTTGGAAGCAATCAGAAATGTTTACTGGTATAGAATACTGTCACCAGAATACTGGTGGTGGCCAGGCATTCTGAGTATGTTACATTTCTTCTGCATCAGCTGCATTAGCTGCCTACTTATTTTCTGGGCTCACTTAAAGTCCTGAGTTTGAGCCAGTTGAGCTCAAGTTATTTGAAGGCCTGGAGATCATCCTTGGAGGTTCTACTGTCTGCCATCACCTAAGCAGGTGCTTTTCAGTGGTGATTCCACTGTTAAGAAATGCCCTCCTGAAAGGTGTGTATGAGGGGGTATCGTAAAGTAATAATTATCACCCGGACGTTATTATGGTATATTGATGAAATTTTGTCAGTGTCATCATCACCAAGTGACCTTTTCTATTCCCCAGAATGAAAAATCCATTGCAGGGTCACCAATTTGACAACACAGATGACATCCGTCATTCATAAAGTGGTAGAGTGGTTTAAGGCGCAATCTGCAGACTTCTGCAATAATCAAGAAATGCTGGAAAAATGTGTAAATCTGGATGGTGACTACATAGAGATAAGTTAACAACTACAAATCAAAGCAAACTTTCTGTTAATTTTTTTAAAAGGTGATAATTATAATCTTACGATACCCCCTCATACTTCCTTCAAATAACTTGGGCTCAATTGGATCAAACTTATAAAAACCTGCCACTTACAAAAAACCTGCTGATCTCCAGGCCTAGAGATCAGCCTTGGAGGTTCTACTTTCTGCCCTACCATCACCTAAGTAGGCACTTTTCAGTAGGTTAAGGAGTGCCCCCTTGAAATATGTGTACTCACCCCCCCCCCACAATTTCTTTCAAGTGAACTGTTTTTAATTAAAGATATTAATGGCTTGGTATTTTAGCTTCTGTTTCTTTGAACTTGTGTTCAGCTTTAAGCTCTTGTTTTTAAAGGTCTAGATAC